CTTATAATCTCCAGCCTACTAAGTAAGTCCCATCCCCACCAAGTGACTTAGGAAGTCCACTAGATCTGAGTCCCCCAGGAGAAGCCAAAGTTCTTCAGTCCCCTTATTCTACTGTTCCTCAGACAACCTAAGTCCTGCTAGGTGCACACAGTTTTAAGCTCCACAGGACTTACCTGAAGTGGTGCATTTTACTCCTCTAATTCAAAACTCATCCTGCCCCTGAGAGAAGTCCCAGGAGCAGAGGATACTACTCCAGTTCAGGTCAATTTTTCAGTTGCAGATATTCAGCAATGAAAAGAAAGGCTGATTGACTGTCTGAGGACCCTACTAAGTTTGCAGATGGGCTTAAAACTTTGACCCTTGTTTTTGACTTATCATGGAGATAGACCCTGATGAAAGACAAAGAATCCTAAAAGAGGCTAAGAACTATGCGAGTGAGCAATATGCTTTACAAAGGGAAGAAAACCATCCCAGAGAGGCTATTCTCCTTTCAAAAGAACCAAGCTGGGATTTTTAGGGAGGAAAAATGATGTCCAAGATGATAGTTGCTTTTATTGTGTGTATGAAAATGTGTAGTAAGAAACATGTTAATTATGATAAGATGAGTGGGGTCATACAAGGCAAACAGAAAAATGCAACTGTCTTTCATAGCCAATTAGTACATGTCTTTCATAAATATACCAACATAGATCCATCTTCCAGAGAGGGAGAGGCACTGCTGGGACATCATTTCATTTATCAGTCAGTGCCAGATATTCACTATAAATTGCAAAATTTTCAGATAGGTCCACAGACACCTATGATCCAATTGCTGGACATGATGTTTTCTGTGTTCATCAGTCAGGATTCAGAAGAGTGTTTTTAAAAAGGCTAAGATTGTAACTGTTGCAATTGGCAATGCTTTATTCTTACCCAAATTGTCTAAGGTAGTGAGTGGTAAACCTTTTAGAGTTTTCAATAACAAACAACCCCTTGTAGCGTGGCATAGGTTAGCCACAACTAATCTAAGGAAAAACCCAAAGATAACTGAAGAAAAAGTTCTTATTTCAAGTATAAGAAAATCTGGATACTGGGCATGCAACTGTACAGAGCCACCACCTGGGCCTGCTCTGAGTGTGAGATGGCCAATGAGCCGAACTCATGGCACCAGAGTGTTAAGTGTCTCTGCTCCCAAAGAGGAGCTAAGGCAGATAAATCTCTTGTTTTCTGTTGTGACAATTGAGGAAGCCCAAGCTTATCTATAGTGCCTCTGTCCACAAATATAAATCTTCCCTGTGAGGAATCCTGGGTAAGTTTAGGTGGGCCAATTTGATTCTTTATCAACGTAGGGGCAGCTCATTCAGTTTTGACTTACTTCTCTGGAAAACCCTTCTCTGGATCAATAGTCATAGTTCTGGCTGAAAAGATTCCTATTTGGAGTGCTGCACTGATGTGTGACTTTGAAAGCCAAATGTTTGACCAGAGTTTTTAACTGTTCCATAGTGTCCTACTCCCTTGATAGGAAAAGATTCACTAGCAAAATTAGAAGCATTTATCAAATTCCAGCAAAGCCCCAAATAAATTTTACCTGTTTGAACTATACTAGGTCTCCCTGACCAAATTAGCCAACAGGTGGATTCTGCTGCATGGTGTAATAGAATAACTGGCAGGGAAAATTCAGCTATGCCAGTAGTTATAAAACTAAAAGCCCCCAGCTGAGTTCCTTACTGAATGTTGTATCCAGTCAAAGACGATACACATAAAGGCCTGTACCTTCTCATAGACAGGTTTCTCATATACAGACTTCTGTGACCTTGTGAGTACGCTTGCAATATTCCATTCTTCCTGTAAGAAAGCCCTCAGGAAATTATAGGATGGTACAAGACCCTTACCTCATTAATGAGACTGTCATTCCAGTCTACCCTCTGTGGCAAATCCAAATACAATTCTCCCCAAATTCCAGGAGACAGTAATTGGTTATCAGTCTTATATCTCATAGATACATTCTTTTTCATTTCCCTACTTCAGAATGTAGGTTTCTGTTTGCCTTTGATTGGGAAAATCCCATATCAAGAGAAAAGCAACAGTATACTTGGACAGTTCTCCCACAGGAGTTTAGAGATAGTTCTCATCTTTTTTTGCTTAGGCACTAGAGAAAAATTTAAGGATCCTAGAGGTAAACAGGGACCCATACTACAGTATATATATATATATATATATATATATATATATATATGATATTCTAGTTTGAAGCAGGGGTTATCCAACCTTAATACTATACAAACTCTCAAATGTCTAGCTAAGAAGGCATATAAAGTCTCCAAGGAAAAATCTCAGGTATCTCTCCAGAAAGTTCATTATTTGGGATATGTTCTTATATCTTGGGAAAAATAGCTGTCTAGGAACTGGAATCAGGCTATTTGTGATCTTGGGCCTCCTACGACTAAATAACAGCTTGATTTATGACTGGGAATGATCAGCTTCTGTTAGATCTGGATACCTAACTTTGGACTAATGGTGAAGCCTTTATATAAAACTGTCAAAGGTCCTGAGTCTATGCCCCTAGAATGGACAAAAGTGACTGACAATGCCTTTAGAGAAATGAAGCATGCCCTTACTCAGGCTCTAACACTGAGAATACCTGAATTAAGAAAGCACCTTTTCCTCTACACATCAGAAAAGAGACCCAAAGGCTAGGACAAGAACACTCAGTGGCATACTTTTCAAAAAAATTAGACAGGGTGGCTGCTGTATGGCTACTGTTCCTGAGAGCAGTAGCAGCTATAGCTATGGTAACAGAGGAAACTGCAAAACTAACTTTAGGACAGGGTCTGTAAGTCCCTGACTTTTACTCTCCCTATCTGGTCAAGGCTATTTTGGAGGAAAAAGGTTACTTGTAAACAGAGGAACAGTTTACCAAGTATCAAGCCATACTGTTAGGCATCCATGAGGTTATTATAAAAACTTGCACTACTCTTAATCCTGCCTCTTTGATGCTCACAGGCCCAGAATTTCACCACTCTTGTGAACAAGTGATCTCCCAGATCTATGTAAGTAAGCAGGATATCAGTGGCCTGCCCTACCAAGACTCTGAAGAGGTGAAGGAAATAGCCTTGTCCAACAAGGCCATTAAAAGGCAGGTTATGCAGTTGTCAGTTCACAACAGGTCATTGAACAAAACTTTTCCCCTCAGGGATCTCTGCTCAAAAGGTAAAGCTAATAGCTCTTACTCAGACATTGATATTAGGAAAAGGCAAAAAGCTAAGTATCGGGGCTAGGGATTTAGCTCAATAGCTCAAGCACTTGCCTGGTAAGCATGAAATCATGAGTTCGATTCCTGGTACAAAAAAAAGCTAAATATCTATACAAACTCTAAATATGCCTCTCTGGTGCTACATACTCATGCAGCAATCTGGAAAGAAAGGGATTTGCTAACAATAAACAATAATTTATAAAATATGAGTAGGAAATTCTTCAGCTTCTAGAGGCAGTCTATCTTCCCATGCAGGTCACAGTCATGCATTACAAGTAACATCAGAGACATGTCTAAAGGTTTCTTGGGAAAGCAAAAAGGAATGCCTTACTCCTGGTTCCTGAGGAACCATTAAAAGCAATCTATATTCCTCAGGAAGACAAATGGGCCTTAGAACAAGGGGGAATTAAGAAGGGATTCTAGTGGCATTTAGGAAACAAAATGGTCCTTCCTCAAAGGACACAGTGGAAGGCTATAAAAACCTCTGATACTGGTGATCAAACCAAGGGGCTCTACCACTGAGCTGCATCCTCTGTCTCTTAATTGTTTATTTTGAGACAGGGTCTCAGTAAATTTCTTAGGTTGGCCTTGAACTTGTGATTCTTGTGCCTCAGGCTCCTGAGTATCTGGAGTTACAGGTAGGCATCACTACATCTAACTCTCTAATTGCTTTTTTAAAAATGTTTTTACTAGTACATGTTTGCAGTAAGTGATGTTCACATTCATCTTAAGGGGTAGGTACATGTGCTTAACACATCCTAGTTCTTTTTATTTTCCTCTCTCTCCCCCTCCCATCTCTTGGCCTCCTTCTGATTTGCAAAACAGCTCTTTCTCTCTCTCTCTCTCTCTCTCCCCCTCTCTCCCTCCCTCCCTCCCTCCCTCCCATTGTTTCCTCTTATCTTTTTAAAAAATTATTTATTCTTTGGATTTCTCATATAAGAGACGTTATGCAACATTTAAACTTGTATGTTTATTTCTCTTAACATACAGGCTGTTTCTAATGTTTAGTTATTATTTGTGCGGCTATAATGATGGGTATGAATATATCACTATAATATGATGTCTTTAACTCTATTAAAAATACCAAAAAAGGGGATAGCTGGGCTGAACGGAATTTCTAGTTTTAGTTTTTTTGAGGAATCTCCATACTGATTTCCGTTGTGGTTGTACCAGTTTACCTTCTTACCAGCAATGTTGAAGGATGCCTCCCTCCCATCCCTTGCAGACTCACTATTTGTTTTTTGATAGCCATTCTTTAAGATGAAATCTCAGTGTTGTTTTAATTTGCATTTCTCTGATGGCTAGAGATATTTAGTGTTTTTTCACGTATTTATTGGCCATTTGTACTTCATCTTTTTCTGCGAAATATCTATTTATTTTAGTTGCCCATCTGAAGGAGCTGAGATGCTTGTGGACAAAGTGCTGGAGTGGGACTAGCAAGTGCAAGGCCCTTGAGGTGAGCATATGCATCTGGTTGACTTGGAAGTTGGTAATCCAGGGAACATCCCCACACCCAGTGAGAAGAGCTAGTAATGGCCAAGAGGCAATTTCTCAAAGGCCCCGTCAGTTGGGGAAACGTCAGCTGTGCCAAGACTGTCTTGGGTGGGGGCAAAAGTAAGGGGTTGTTAGTCACTGATGGTGCAGCTTTAATAACCAAATAAGTTTGGCTCAAAGGCTGTGACTGTCACCAGCTAGAGTCTATTCAACAACAATTGAGCAAACCCAAAATTCAAATGAGGCCCAACTAACATGGTCTCCACGGACTTACCCCTTCCTCCATGTGATATCATTGTAGCCCAGGTCAGTTTCACATTCTGCAGAAACAAAGCAGAAGGAAAAGGGATGGGGGCTAGGGGACACTTGTCCACTATCTGCCTGTGGAGAGGAAGAGACCAAGAAAAAGGTCTGGCTGAGCCAGTTCCTGCACTCTGTCATATTTTGGGCTGATTGTGTGGGTGGGTGCATGTGTGTGTGTGTGTGTGTGTGTGTGTGTGTGTGGGTGGGTGTGTGTTGTTCAGGTTTCCCTCCCCAGGAAGCATTTGTCTGTAGGCAGCCTGGAATTCTAAGGTGCCAGATCCTTATGGAAATGAGCAAAGAAAGAAGAAACAACAAGCATTTTACAGGAATCCTGTCACCAAGGGAGCAGCAGCAATAGGGCTGCTGCAGTCCCCCAAAATGATTTAATCACCGAAAGACTAGAGAACAAAAGCAAAAGTCTATTTTTTACTGCAACATATTATACCAGAAAATGACCCTTGTTAGAATGAAAAGAAAGAAAAAAAAGTCAGTCTTTAAAGGGAAGATAGCAAAAGGCTTTGATCACGTGGCTGCAGATTTTTCTGCCTGCTCAGATTTTTTCCTGCTTCTTCTACATGTTATGCTGAGATGCTTGCCACTCACCTACTTTAGATGGTAAAATACGGGCTCATTCTGCCCTTTTGTCCAAAGGGTCACTCGACTGGGGAACCCTTGTAGACTACAGCAAGAAAATTCAATGTATGCCTATTTCTCCAAATGTACCTTGTAAACGTAAGAGGAAAAGTGTGCATTTGAGACATATCATTAAATACAGGGCATTCCTTCCCATGGAAACAGATGAACCCGGGGAGAGAAGCATAAAACTATGAATGATAAAAACTGTCTGTTACTGACTTCCAATCTACTTGAGAAACAAGAATAACACACAAGAGAAACACAGCAGGCTGTAATAATGTCCCTTTTGGGCAGGAGAAAGAAGGAAATTGCTTTTGGTGTGAAAGTGTTACTATTTTAGGCCGCGAGCATATTCATGAGTAAATCTGTTATCTGTTCATGCTTCAACACAGATGAACCTCAAAGACAAACAAAAGACAAAAGACCACATTTCCTATGATTCCATATAAAAGTGTTATGTCCAGAAGAGGCAAATTTATAGAGACAGAAAGTAGATTTGTGGTTGCTAGGAGCCAGGGAGGAGACCAAACGAATGGGGTAGGGGTGAGGGCAATGTTTGGAGTGGTGAATATGTTCTAAAATAGATTGTGTGCACCACATACTTGTAAATATATTAAAGACTATTGAATTGTACTCTTTAAATGGGTGGATTTAATTATATGTAAATTACATCTTAGTAAAGCTGCTTTTTACAAAAATCTGTAATCCCCAATGTTTGGCACACCTGCAAAAGGTACATGTTCACTTGCAAGATGGCTTTTTTGGGGGGTTACTTTTATATAATAAACATGGCCAAGTAATGGAACATAAGAACATGTAATAAATCTGACCAAGTATTTTGATAGGATGGGTGTTTTAAAATCACAATGAGCATAGCATTTAAGTGTGCAGTGGAAGATAAATAGAAGCTTGACAGTGCCACAACAGTGGAATGTGTGCATTCTCAGATGAAGGAAGGAGGAAGATTCAGCTCGTGAGCCAAGTCAATAGTTCCCCTTACTTCACTTTCATAAGGAGCCGCTGCTGCTGAACAACAGAAACTGCAGAGTAAATGAGACAAAGAAGCTTTGTCTTTAGTTTCCCAGTTGTCAATGGAATGAACAGGGGATGCCCTGATTAAGTGCAATGACTGTGTCCCGTATTTTTCTTGTCCCCAGGACAATCCCTGTGGCTCCAGGCAGAGAACACAGGCGGTCACTAAGCCGCACTAGCTATATTTATCTGGCTGGCTTCCTCCCACGTGGTGTGAGGGCAAGGGCCAGGTTGGATGGGTAAGAGCATTTATGTACTCCAAGCCTTCCCACTTGACCATATTCCCTTCCACTTGGACAGATGATCTCTCTGTTCTTTCTGGACACTTCTGGAGCTCCTTAGTCAATGCACAAAATTTGATAAGCCGCAGAACAGGAAAGACTGCTGTCCTCTGTGCCTTCCAACAGTGTGTCTTTTATGACCAATGTTCACTGAGTGGGCAGGTCTAACCTGTTTAGTTTTTTGAGACAAGGTCTTCCTATTTAGCACAGGCTGGTTTCAAACACACAGTGATCCTCCTGCTTCAGCCTCCCAAGTGCTGGGATTACATGCATGTGCCACCACACCTGACCAGTGGCAGGTCTAATTTGAAAACATGTTGGTGAAATTTTAGAGGACTTCTTCCCACTTGGAGGTCATAAAACAGGATTGTATGAATCAGTACTGCCAAAGCAACAAAGATCTACTCCATGCGTCAAGTTCTTCCAAAATGTTTGCCCCATAATAGATACTCAGGCATGGATTCTTGAACAAATGGACAAACAAACACATCTCTATGCCAACCATGAAAGAGAGGTCTAAAGGCCAGCACTCTGGGTGTCTGTGAACCAGAGGTATTCGGTTCTAAACCTTGAATGACTCCACTTAGAACCTCTTGCAAGGAAAGGGTAGGAAAGAAAACCCCCAAAGGATCTTAAAGTATTAAATACTTCAGAACAAGGGAGACATAGTTCAGTGGTAGAGCACAAAAAAAGTCCCTGGGTTGGAACCTCAATACCATCCTTGCTGAAAAGTTACTAGCAAAAGCTACTGATTCTCAGTTGCAAGGAAGAGAAAGAATAATAGAAAATTGGCTGAAATAACGCTTAGAAATATATCTTGGAATTTGCAAAAACACCTTGGGATTATATTTTCATGAGTCTTTCTAACAAGTGAGAAACATGACTGAGCAAGAAAAGTAGGTATTCTCTCAGTAAAATATAGTGAGAGAGTAGAGGAGAATGAGACACACAGGAATTCTTGTCTGTCTGCTGGGTCATTTGAAGAGCAGAGAGGCCTCCTCCTGCCCTCCTAATCTATTTCCTGGAACATTCGCAAATACACAAGCACCACAAAGAAGACACTCAATTTCTAACATCCAAATGAATCTGGGAAGGAATTCTGAGTTGATGGCTACTTGAGAATTGAGAGAGGCATGAAAGAGTATTATTTCTAAGATTGAGAGAATTTAAAAGTTGATTTGGCTGCTTTTTTAGGGATTTGACTTTAATGTTTTCTTATGTAAGCACATCACTCCTGCCAGGGCCAAGTTGCAAAATTTCAAAATGACAGAGTGTTTATAGAATCTTTCGGGTTTCCTGACTCTCAGTTGGATTATGCTTTTTTATTAGAATTCAGTGGTGCCCAGTGTGTTGTGTTAATCCATATTTAAAGTAGGATGAACTTATGTTTCAATCTGCCTGGGACAGTCCTAGCTTATATCAGTTATCCCAGCAGAATTATTAATAGCATCCTCCTCTACTATCAATAGTATCCTGTTTTGGAAAATTAAATTCTATAAGCACTCTAATTTTGACTACTAAGTGTTTTCAAGAATATTTCACCCATGGGCTGGTAGTGGAGCTCAGTGGTAGAATACTTTCTTAGCATGCATGAGATCCTAAGTTCATCCCTAAAATGACACACACACAAAAGACTACTTTGTGTTTCTTAATTATTGCTACCGACAGTTATTTTATATAATTTCTGTGAGCTTTCTTTTCTGCTGAATTTTAAGCATCCTTTGAACTTTAAAAGGCTACTCACAAAACCAGAAAGCCAATAGCAAGATAATGACATCATATCCACACAAAGAAAACTGTCAACTGTTAATAATACATGTTAACTAATTAACATGTGTTACTAATACTTTTTGTCCTTCAGATTGTATTTCTATTTATCAATTTATTATTAAATTGGTACCAAACATGGAATGGATGCCAATGGCTGAATAACACATACCTTCATAGCCAAAGAGAAGTAATAAAAAGAAGCCTTCTATCTTGCCAGGCATTTTTCCCTCGTCCTTGGTCGCAGTTCTACCTTACTGAACTAGGGAGCTTGCCCAAGAGCAGGGGATTAACCTGAGCACTGGCCTCATTAAGCATCTTATTCCATTTAGTTCTTAGGTCTTCAGCTCAGCCCCATCAAGTTAACCCACATAGTTACTTGCCTCAATAAGGAAGTCTCCCAGGAGACACGAAGGGCAACTGAGGTGGGTTGAACAAGAGAAATATTGGTTTAATTCTATTTAAATGTATGAGAAGCGATGGAAGGAACTAGGAACTAGAACCTGAAGACTCCAGATCTTTGTAGCTTGAGAGGGTTAAGAGCACAGATTTCCAAGATAGACATGGTGCAAATCCTAGTGCTATCAACGGATATTGGGTAACCTCACATCAAAATTTATCATCTCTAACATGATCATGCTAAAAATGCCTACTTCATAGAGTGATTTTGTTGTAGTCAGGGGTTACAAGGAGAACAAGACAATAAAGGACACAATATTTATAGTATTTTACAATAGTCATCCAAAGAGTTAAATATAAGAAGTACAGGAAATCTGTCCACACACCAAGACCCTAGGAATCCATCTGAGGACCAGGATCCCACAGCAACATCCTGCATGAGTCTATCTGAAGACCTAGAGCCCATAACAGTGTCCCCCACAAGTCCAACTGGAGGCCTAGAGCCCATGACAATGATTCATGCAAGTCTGTTTCACAGATCTGCGCTGGGAGGGCCCAAAAGTCAGCGATGGAACCTAGAAAGTCTGTGCCAGTGGGATGAAGGATCTGTGCCAGTAGGATGAATGTTCTGCACTGGAGCCAGAATGCAATGCTCAAAAATAAGGACCAGAGCTCCCCTGAAAAATACCATAGCCACCCTCAGTGACCACAAGGTTCTGAGCTCCTCGGACAATGAGAACAACCCAGTTCATACCAGGAAGCCAGCATGACAATCTTCTTCAGGAGACTGAACAGTACACATCTTCTCCTCTGGAGTCAGCAAGCGATACAGTAAAGACCAGAGCTCCCCAAAGAGAACTGCAGCCATTCTCAGCAACAACAAGGTCCCAAACTCCTCCAGGGGAACCAACACCACCATAGAGAATCAGTAACACCAAACTCTTCCTCTCTAGTTCTTTTTAATCTTGGCAACAATCGTCTGGTGGGCCATCCACGCATAGTACCACGCTGATTCAGTTCAGCTGGTATTGCAAGTTGACCACCAGTTATCAATTTACCACAGATTTTGAAGTTTAAATGAGATGAGATGTATGTATATATAAAATACCCAGAATGGCTGGGGGTGTAGCTCAGCAATAGAGCCTTGGGTAATGCGTAGGAGGTCTGACATGTGATCTCCAGCACCACAAACGAAAACAACTCCAAAATCCCAAAACACACACTTAGAACTGTGCTTGGCATTCTTAGCTAACATTATCTTATAGCCAGTAAGAGTTGAGTTGAAGGAGGAAAAAGGGAATGGTTGATATATAGGTATTGAGTTTCAGTTTTGTAAGATAGAGCTCTGGAGATTTGTTTCACAACAATGTAAATATACTTTACTGAACTATACACTTAATGGTTAAAATAGATTAGAAAAAGAATTAAGATTATCAATAATAGGAAAAACGTGTCATACTCTTGGCTTAGAAAAAGATGCAAATGTATATACTATAAGCAAAAGTATGTGGAAAAAGCTGAGAAAAATACTGAACTTTCCCTTCCCCTTTTAGTTTTTGCCACTAACATCCTATCCCTGGTCGACATCTTGGGCCCCAGAGCCTTATTCCTCTTGTCAAAGATGAAAAAGGTCAGTGTTAAAAAAAAAAAAAAAATGGCCCCTCCCCTCTAAACGAAACCTTAGTGAAATCATAAAGAATAACAAAAAGGAATTAGAGAAACATTTGGCCAATTAGCATTTGTTAGATGTCGATAAGCCTGACAGTCTATACTGTATGAATTCTTCATTAAAACAGATGGATGTGTAGTCCACTAACCCTATTGCTATATTAAAAACAAAAGGATTGTGTTGGGCTTTGTATTTCAGAGTTTAATGAAAGCCTTTAATCATGATCAACTTTTAACAATTCAATCGCAGTCAGAGCGCTGCAGTATTGACATATTCGTTGGAGGCTTTTGTGGGGCTGGCCTTTCTTGGATCAAGGAAGAGGACACTGGGACCACCAACAGGAAAGGGGAGGTAGGGCTCCTGTGGAGACTCCGAATTGTCCCTGCCTCCACCTTAGACTCTCAGGTCCGGCCATGGCAGCTGTAACTTTATTTGGCAGATTATCTGCCATTTCACTTCTCACATAAAAAGGTCAAAAATATTTTTTTAATAAAAAAGAGAAACTACCTCCTCTTCTTCTGTTTTCAACACAGATAATCTGTGGCTATGAAAAACATGAGAACCACACCATACAGCAATGGTTCCACTGGGGCTCGAACCCAGGACCTTCTGCGTGTAAAGCAGACGTGATAACCACTACACTATGGAACCATCCCATAGCAAGGGTGTTCTTAGAGGCCCTTTCATAGTATCACGTCAGAGCCAGCGCCTCCGCCAATCCCCACCCTTCCGCCGTGGCCCCGCCCTACCCTTCCTGAAGGCGCGGAGTTCCTGGCCAAACGCGGCTTCAGAGGGCGGGTGGCTGCCTCCTTCCGCTTCAGGTTTGCTGCCGCCTGTTAGCTACGGTGGGCTGGGGACCGGGTGACCCACCTGGCTGAAGGCGCTGTCTCTCTAATTACCTGACCCCAACTTTATCCAAAGCGCAGGCAAGGCGGCCGGACGGGGAGAAGCGCGCCCTGACGGGGTACGGCTCCTTGGGATACAGCTCAGTTTCCCGTTTTTCCGTAGGGCAGGCGGCCCCAGCGCTGAGCCTGGATCCTCAGCAGGGAGGGCAGGAGCGCCCCTTGGAACTGGTGATTCGGGCGGCGCAGGTCGCCCCCCTCCGCCCCCCGCCTCCCGCCTTCCATTTTTTACAGTCTTGCTGTGCAGTTCTGGCTGGCCTTGAGGTCTATGTAGCCCAGGCTGGACTCGAACTCGCTAAGATCCTCCTGGCTCAACCTCTAGCGTGCTAAAATGACAGAACGTGGTAAACCACGTCTAGCCAAGGCGCCATTATGCTGGCATCTGCCTGCCAGGGTTGAGCAAAGCCGCTAGGACTACACCCCTTGCCCAAGGTTGCAGGCTTCCCACTTCCTCTGACTTTCTCCCAGCATTCTTCCCTTCCAGAAGCCATTGAGGGGATAGAAATCTGGGGCCTTTCTTTGGGACCCATTGGTGTGGGGTCAGGGGCACTGGTGGTGTACATGGGCCATCACTTTTATGACTGCTGGGGGAAGTAGCACTGGCCACATCATTTGAGGAGCCCTGGGCAAAATAAAAATGCCAGGTCCTGAGTTAATAAGTTACTGAGAATTTCAAATGGTGGCAGTAGAGTATTCACCTCACCGGAGGTCTGTGTAACTGCAGTTCGCCGACCCTGAGCCTGCCACCAGGCCTCCAGGACCAACCCAGGGAAGGTGCTGGGCCCCTCGAGCACAAAGAGCTCTTACATGTTCTCTCTTCTTGGTATTATTGCCAGTGTCATTTTTGCCTTCTCCAGGGCTTCTGGATGGATATTTGTCACCGTCCTAGGATTGCTCACCACCCTCAAGGTTGGATGCCATTAAAATCTGTTTGGGGTGGGGTCACTTTAAGAGCTCAGGTGGACTCGACTTGCAGGGGACAGTTGTCCTTTCCCCTGGTATCATCTTCAGAGGTTGACAGGATGATGGAGAAGTAATATCAGTTACACTAAGGTAACTCCCTTCAGCCAACTCTTGTCTCCCTGAGGAGGCGCCTGGAAGAAATAAGTGTGGGGAATGAGGCCTAAAGTTGGGGTCATGATCTGGGTTTTAGTCCTGTGGGGTTGCTCAGCAGCTGAGAACTTTTGAGGTACATCAGCTCACCTCCCAAGTCCCAGCCACCTCTGTGAAATACACAAGTTGGGCTAGACACCCCCACTGTCACCTCTAGGTCTAAACATTATCCCCATTTTCCAGGTAGAAAGATGGAGGCAGTTACCCTTGTGTGATGTTTTCCACAGAACTTGTTAGAGGCAAACCTGCCACCAGGGCTTGTGTTTTCTAGTGCTGTTTCCTCAATTAGCTTCCTGTAATACTCATCACAGGACCCCCTTTTCTGTCTGACTTTTTGTTGATACTTTTCAAGAGTCCACTTGAGCACTTGATGCCTGGATGGGTAGCCATGAGATGACCACGAGTGGCCAGATGCCAGGCAAAAGACGCATCCATTAAGGCTGCATGTTTACTGCTAGTGGTGGTCGGCAAGTCATAATAACTCATGGGAAAATCAATGCTAAGTATATCCCACCTGTTTCCAAGCTGCTATTAGTCTGCAGCAAGACTACCAAGAATTGGCCCTAACATTACGCCCATCATCTGTGTTTTGGTTTGGTTTGCCCAATGCAAGCTTTGGCCAAGTTCCCAAACTTATACTCCACATAGAAAGGAACTGGTGCCCTTTTAATGTGTGTAAGTTTTTGTCTTCAGTGAAAAATTCTTGTTCCTTTTCTCTGTTTTGATCAGAAGGGAGACTTTAGTGAGAAGTTCAAAGGAGAGACTTCCTGCCCCTCTCAAAGTGTAGTGACAATGTCTATTATTAGTAAAGTACAATATGGTTTAGTTATTCCTGGACAACAGGCCCGTGAGGTAGTCATAATGAGAAGGTTTTTGTTTGTTTGTTTTTGTTTTAATTTATTTAAGAGGAAAAAGACAAGAAAAACAAAAAAGAAAACAGACAAACAACAACAAATCCAAAATAATAACAGTATAGATTTTCAAAACAAGACGATAAGAATTTAACAATGGTTGTAATGCATATTGTTACCTTCACAAGGGTTGCTTAGATTACCAGATACAGACATGCAAAATGGATCTAATCAGATGAATATTAACTTATTTTCAAGAACTAATAGAATTAGTAGTATAGTCAGCTATCTTATGTATCTTTATACAAATTTATGACTTTTTTCTTTTCCTCTCCTTTTTTCCTCCTTTCCCCTATCCAGAGGTTTTTGTTTTGCCCGTAGGGTCTTATTGTGCAGTCCAGGCTAGTCTTGGCCTTGAAACTGCTATGTAACCCAGGCTGACCTCAAACTTGTGATCCTTCTGCCTCAGTCTCCTGAGTGCTGGGATTGTACACCACCTCACCCAGCTTGGGGTAAGTATTACGGTCTCCATTTTTCAGCTGAAGAATTACAATGCCTTTATGACCATTCAGCTGTGGAGTGGCAGAGCTGGGCTTAAACTCAGCCTGCTGATTCTGATTGATTGTACAAAACAGTCCATAGTGGTTACATGTTGTTCACCTAGAAGTGGTACTGGTGTCTTATATTTCATATGCATGCTAATGAGGAAATGAATACCTTTCTAAAACAATCTTGCAATTTTTAAACAAAATTTTTAGTGTTAGGAGCCATAAGTCTGCTAGAAACAACTATTGCTGACTCACCTAAAGCCATTGAGAGTTCGGGTAACACTTTGGGTGGCCACAGTTTGCCTGGTACTTTGGTTATATTTGTGACACTCAATACTCCTAGGTATACCCCTAGGTACATCCACAATTACCTGAACAACTATAATAAAAATATGGAAACAAACCACTAAAGACTACAGGTTATTTCAAACTTTTTGGGTCCTCTGATTTCTCAGATGTCTGGCATTGCTCATTTGGTCTTTAGCTTCACTGACGTGAGCTAAGACTTGGTCTTCAGCTTAAATTGACCTGAGAGACCAGAGCCCCAAACACTGAACTTAATCAGAAAGCCTAATTTACCTGGTTTTCTTTAGAGACTATTGTACTTTGTCCTTCAGTGGGTTTTGAGTAGCATTTACTGGGAGAATTGAGTCATTACCTTTATATGGCAGAGCTCACCTTGTCTCTCCTCTTTGGAGCTCATCATAATGCAGAATATTTGCAACCACCCCCATTGGGATAGATACGTCTTGCTTTTCACCACCTGTGTTTTGCATCCCTCTGTCTTCTAACTCAGCTCAAATTCTGTGGTCATTTTATTCTCGAGTCTGCCTCTTCGCTGCTTCTGTGCACTTGCTGGCAAAATCACAACCTGTTAAGGCCAACCCTCCCTACTCTGTCTCTGAATATAGCCCAAGACAAATACATCTGGCCAACTGGCTTCACATTAAATTTACTACTACTTGCCTGTGTCTACGTCTCCTAAAGGACAGTTTTGTATCTTCTCTTCAGTTATGATTTATATGTGGTTTATATGTGCCTGTCGATGAGGCTTTTGGGAGGTGACTGGATCATGCGGGTGTGATACTTACTCCTCAATGAATTAGTCTCTGCTTCCTCCTTGCGGTGCCTTGAGCTGTTTCTTCCCTGCCTTGGAGCCAGTCAACTATGGACTGAAACTTCTCTAAACTATGAGCCAAAATAAACCTTTCCAATGTCCTAACCTCAGTGTCTGCAGACAGTTTGGTCAGGACTTGGGTGCTGCTGGCTTGCAGTGGGTGAGGACCAGTGACAATGCTGGTTAACACCCTGCAGTGTACAGAAGAGCTCCCTACAAGAAAGAATTACCTGGCCCCAGTGGCAGCAGTGTCTGAGAAGAGGAATCCTGCATGCATATCTAAATGCAGGCCCCGGTGCGCTCAGTCCCACCTGCTTTTGGCTCCAGACAGATCACTCTAGCAATTTCCTCTTCCTTCTTCCTCGTCATTATTTCCCCTACTGCATTGAGTCATTCTGATCAGAATATAGCATTCGTTCCATCTTTCAGAACAGTACAATCAAATTCAATGGTTAGGTTCGATGTTGACCTTATGGGAAAATTTGATTTGGATCTCTTCCAATTCAGTTTGTGACTAGTATGGAAAGACTTAAGTTTGTGAACTGAAGCACCACTATAATCTCAAAACCATCCCTGCCTCTACTTTCCTCTACCTGCTCTTTTCTTTGTGTGTGTGTGTGTGTGTGTGCTTTTTTTGGAGACAGGGTCATACTTTCTAGTGCAGGCTGGCCTTGAACTCACAGGAATCCTCCTGCCTCAGCCTTTTGACTGCTGGGATTACAGGCATGTGCCACACATCTGGCTATCTGCTACTCTTTATAGCAAAACTCTTCAATTTGTCTTCAGTGCCCTCTCTAGTTCCACTCCCCACACTAGTATTTGCTCCTACCACTCCACCAAAATTCCTCAGGTCTAGGTCACTGGTGACTTGTGATCCGGAGTAGTTCCTCATTTTATTTGACTAGGTAGCAGCATTTCAAACCGTTGATCTCTTCTTCTTTTTGGAAACACTTTTCTCTCTTGCCTTTTAGGGTGCCCCCCGTCTCATGATGCTTGTCTCCTACCTCTGTGGTTACTCCTTTTCCAGCACCTTTGCTGGATCCTCATCTCGTTGACTTTAAATACAGCCACCCCTTAAATCTTGGTCCTTGGACTTCTCTGTTCATTCTCACCACTCTGATTACCTCATTCAATCTAGTGGCTTTGAATAGCATCTTAACCTGCGTGATTCCAAATGTATCTCTCCAGTCCAGACTTTTCTCCTGAACGCCAAATCTGCATATTTGATATCTCCATTAAGATGTCTAAGAGGCGTCTCAAACCCATTACATCTGCATCTAAACTCCTGCCCTCCGTCCTCTAAAGCTGTTCCCTAGGCTTCATTCTTTCAGGGAATAGCAACTTTATTTTTCTATTCATTAACACCTAAAACAGAATCATACTTGAGTTTTACTTTCTTCTTATAACCGAAATGTAATCTCACTAGGAAATCCATTGGCTTCCCCTTCAAATCTATTCAGAACCCACTGGCTTTCTGCCATTGCCTGGCTACCACCTGGATCCTCGTTGGCAGCCTCCTAGGCTATCGTTCCAGCTTCTGCCCTTTTCTCCCTGTAGACTGTTCACAGAGGAGTCAGAATGGTCTTTTTAAAACCCGAGAGAAGGTGGGCATGGTGGTGCATACCTGCAGTCCTAACACTGGGAGACTATGGCAGAAGATTGCAAGTTTGAGCCCAACCTGGGCAACTTAATGAGATCCTGTCTCCAAATAAAAAAAATGAAAAATGGGCTAGGGATGTAGCTTAGTGTCAAGGCCCCAGGTTCAATCTCCAGTATCCCCCAAAAGAAAAACGAACAAAAAGAAAAAAACTGAGTTAGATTTCGTTGGTCCTTTGCTTAAAGTTTCTTCAGTGGATTCTCACCTTAACTAGAATAAAAGTCCAACTTTAGTAGCCTCCCACTCATTAGCTCTCTGATTACATATCATGCTGCCCAGCTGCTGTTGCCTGTTTGCTGTTCTTCAAACATGCCAGATGTCACCTGCCTCAGGGATTTTGTGCCTGCTATTCCCCAGCTTTGTATATTCTTTTTCTTCAGTGGGCCCGTTGCTCATTTCATGTATTTTCTCTCAAGGAGCTCTTTCCTGATTACACTGTATCAAAACCTTCTTGTTCAAAGTAAGATTTTTTCCTTTTCCTTTTTTTTAAGTGGTGTTGATTGAACCTCATATATGCTGAGTATGTGCTGTACCACTGAGCTACCTCTTGAGGCCAACCCATGTAAGATTTTCCTAGCACTGCTCTACTGATAGCTTGGCCAATTTACTTGCTTTGGCCAAGCAAGTGATGGGCATCACTTACCAGTCAATGCATAAGCATCGCTGTGTAATTCCTTCTGTTTCTCCTTTTGCTATGGGACCAGTAATGTCCCAGAGGAGGATTGACCTGAGTCTTAGAGGGAAGACTACACATTGCAGAACTTCAACTTATCAGCACTGGCTATGGAATGGAAATGAAAAGTAAATTTTTATTTTAAGCTACTAAAACTTGGAGTTGGTTAGCATAACATGCCCTAAGTTTCTTCAACACTCCCACTAGTTTAAGAAGAGAATGAGTTTATTAAAATTAAATGTCTCCCAGGATCTCTGAGAAGGCCTTGGGGACTCCAAAGCTAGGAATGACAATGTCCATATCTCACTAAAGGGCTGCTCCAACACAGACACCCACTGTTGCCTATTCTGAGCACAGATGTAGCAATCTGAATCAGTGACAGAATCCAGACTCTATGCTGGCTTCCGAGCCATTCTTCAGGTTGCTGTCTTCTCAACAGAAGTCTCTGGTAGATCTTGGTTTACATGCCTGTGCTCTTGTTAGAAGAGAAGCTGGGAAAGCAGATTTCTTGGTTCTATTTGAAGGGGGAGTTTGGCGAGGAGTCACAAGTGAGGAATTAGCAGAACCTAGGGAAGATGTTCTGAACTGAGTAACTGCAAAGCATGAAAAACACCCACTACCTGATTGGAGCCTGGGAATGGAGTAAACACCAAGGGATTTAAGCTGAGAAATAGAACCAGCTGAGTGCTGTCGCTTAAGTCCTAGACCAAATCATGCCACAAGGGTACTCACTGCCCTTTAGTGTTTTTGTTCTGTTTTTGTTTATAAATATTGGGTATTGAACCAATGAACTTCTGCATATCAAGCAAGCACTCTAGCAGCGAGATTTTTTTTTTAAAAAAATTTATTTTGAGGCACGATCTCACTAAGTTGCCCAGGCTGGTCTTGAACTTCCAATCCTCCTGCCTCATCCTTCTAAGGATCTGGGATTACAGGCTTGCACCACCACATCTGGCTGACCATTTTGTTATTTGAGGAATACATTCCTAGTTTTGCTTAGGCCAAGTAGAATGGCTTTACTGACACTTGGAACAGAAAGAGTTGTAACCAGCTGTGTGTAAAATGGTTAAACATCAGCACAGCGACTGACAATGGTGACCTGCTCCTGCATGTGAAAAGTTTTGTGCTCAGTTCCTAGTAAGTGAGGATGGGGTTGATGATCCTGGGAATCACCACTTCTGGTAGGTTAAGGCTTTATGTCCCCAGGAGTTATCAAATATAGCAGAGCATTTGCTCACATGTGACACAGTAACAAGGATAGGTGCAATTATTAGAATGGGCAGCACATCTGTGGCAGCTATCGCTAGTTGCATGTCCAATATCCATTATTTTCCTCCATAATGAAAATAAGGAAAACCTCCACAATATAGCTTGCTATGTGTTCTAAGCTCTTTATTCATAGTAATTCATTTAATCCCACAAGAACCCTGTTTTACTGTCTCATCACTGGGACATAATCCCTGATACCCGCAAATCTGAGGAGGAAAGGTGTATTTTGGCCCAGCTCACAGTTTGTA